ACTATTCTTATCTCAGTCTTATCAGTTGCTGTCAAGTATCTAAATTATACTATCAACTTACCCCAACCAATAATAATATGATAGAATACAACCCAAGATAAGGATTTCCACGTTGGGAATGCAGGCTCCAGCTGAACTTTATCCATAACGTGCCAGTTATCTGTGAGTAAGACTCCTACAGGGAGTAGTTCAGTAGTGGAAGGAACATACATGCAATGCTCTAGAGCAATGTTTTTCAAACACAGCAACTTTAAGATCTCTAGAGTTACAGTCCCACATCTTAAAGTTGCCAGAGAAATAAGTACCATTTTTTTTTGTTTCATAACTGTCCCAGTTAACTGTTGTCTCTTAATTAAGTTTATATGGTTAGTGGCATATAAGTGCTTTGAAAATCAGAGGATGTTAAGTACCTTATTTCTCAACCCAAAGTAGATGAAAGGAAGTTTGATCAAGATTGCAGTAATTACTGATTTTTAAATAACAACATCAAAAATGAAATATAAAGAAATGCCAAATAGTCTGGCTTGATACTGTGCCTAAGAGAAGTGCTAATTACAAAGAACAACCAAGACATTGTAAAATAATAATAATACTTGGCAAGGTGAAGCAGGATGTGCCTGTAGATTGCTTCTCTAGAAAGAATGAATTGCTATAATGGCAATTGTCAAAGTGACATCCTTAAAGAGAAATATTCAGTCAAGGCTGTTTAAAAAGTTCAGAGATGCCACAGGAACTGTTGTGTGATGTGCAAAGACAATGCCTGTAAGCTCTTGCAAACATGCTTAGGTCTGTCAGTTTAGTAGCTAGCATTAAAAGTAATCCAGCAACAGTATTCTTGTCTGCTAGAGGATGAAAATGCTAGAAAGAATACCACATTGTCAAGTGAAGATGAAATACATGTTATGTATAGTTTTTTTTTAATAAATGGCCAGAATTTATTCCAAAACTAACTTTGTCTATTTGTGATGTTCCTGGATTCTAGAATACGTATTTTCTGGTGGGATCATCATCATCATCAGTTTTAGTAAAATCTTATAGGTGTCATATGACATGGAGAACTTAACTTCAAGATGAAAGAACAGAAAAACTCAGAACCAATCAGAATAGTGCTATGTATTTCTTGTTCTCATCTTACTCTTGTTTAGACTGCTTGACAGAAAGATTCAAGAGTGCTTTACTGCATAAGACACATATGCCACTAATCATATAGAGCATATCTATATCTATCACATTTTTATCCTGCACATTCTGAGATGTCCAAGACGACTTACATGGGTTAATTGTGCTTTACTTTCATAATAATCTTAGAAGATAGCTTCGGCTCTGACTATCATCACTCTGATGGTATCCTATAAATCCTAGTGCATGAACTAAGACATTGTTTTCATAAGCTTAGTTCCACAAATCATTGCTCTATGCCAGTGGTTCTCAACCTTTCTAATGCTGTGACCCCATAATACAGTTCCCCATGTTGTGGTGACCCCCAACCACTTATACATCACCGGGTGCCAAGGGTGTAGCCAAAGAAAAGGGGAAAAAATGGCGGACAGCCTTGTTTGGCGACCCCTATGAAATGGTCGTTCGACCCCAAATGGGGTCCCGACCCACAGGTTGAGAACCACTGCTCTATACTGATTTTGTTATATAATTACTGTGAGTGTAGCGCTTGTGCAACACTATATACTGCAGAAAAGGCAGGGGCTTAATTACTGGTTTATAATCACTTAACTAAAACCAAAATTCCTTAATCAAGGAAAATAATTAACAATCCTTGATCCTAATCAGGAATAGTGCTCAGCAGGTTACCTGCACATATCGGCATTGGATAGACATATGCTGAGCCAGGTATAGCTAAAATGACCATGAAAAACATTAGAAAAAGGTGCTGCACCCCAGAGCGCAAATACTGTAGAGCTGTTCTCTTTATTTCCTTAAATCAGCCCTGTCTTTTTGCAAAGTTCATGCAGCTGCTTTGAATTCTGCTTCCTGAGGGCTGCTTCCTGACATACATGTGCACACAGAGCCATTTCACAGAAAAAATGCTTTGTACAACCCTTACACAAGTAACCGTCAGGTTAGGATCATTTATTTGACTGTTCAGTATTACGATGGCAGTGAAGGGAATTATGACCAGTCCTCAAAAGTTCCAGCACCCCCGCAGTCATGTAAACAACACTTAGGTGCTTAGCAACCCATTTGCACTAATGATTGGTTGCAGCATCCCGTGGTCACATAATCTTGGACCTTCCTGCCAGCTTCCCACAAATAAAGTCAATGCGGAAGTTGGCAGTGAAGATCACAAGTCACTTGAATAAATCTTCCCTCTCCTGACCTTTCTTCACTTGCACGCACCTGTACCCAGTAGTGGGTTTCAAATATGTGAACAACCAGTTCTCTGTGGCTGCCGCTTCCGCAAGTCCATTCTGGGCCTGGGCAACAAAAAATTAGCTACCGGTTCTGCTGAAGTGGTGTGAACCGGCTGAATCCCACCACTGTCTGTACCCTCTTTTCTCAGCCTCCCTGCATTCACATGCATGCATTCATCAGTACCCCTTTTTCCCTGGACCTCTCTGTGCTTGCACACTAAACACCCTCCACACCCCATTTCCCTGGTCTCCTTGTGCTCAGACACATACATGTGCCCTGTACCCTATTTCCCCTGTCTCCTTGTGCTCATATACACACACCTTGCACCCTCTTTCCCTGGCCTCTCTGCAGTCATATACATGCATGTACCCGTCCTGCACACTTTCCACTGCCTCCCTGAGCATTTGCCACACTTTAAGCGCCATCAACTCCCAACTCACGTGTGGTCTGCATAGGCCTCCTCCACTTCCCTGCAGTATCCCCCAGCTCCTTACCTGGAACTTTCTTTGCTTTCCACTTAACAACCCACATATCTTGGGGTTACCACACCAATTGGGACTGCCTGAATTGCCCTCACTAAGCAATGCATTCATGTGACATCAAGTTTTATGACCATATAACTTAGCGATGACAATCCCAATCCCAGTTACCATCATAACTCAAGGACAACCTGTACACTTCTCAGGAATAATGGAAAAGGGAAGCAAGTATTTATAAATGGCTATTTTTCATTTATTGGTTATTCAAATACTTTCAACTGTGTTCACCACAACCTGTAGTTAACCCTAAAACATGTATCAGGCTACCTCATCTGCCTATTGAGTAATTTATCTGATGACCAGGAAGCAACAGCTACTGAAATACAGAGCAACTAAATGGTTCAAAATTGGTAAATGAGGGTGTCAACATTAATTAATGTGTTTATTTATCATATTTATATCTTATTACAACTGTACATAGACTCCCAGCAGCTCAAAACAATAACAATGACAATTTTATACAATAAAACTAACAGAATAGATAAACCTAACTTCTAAAAGACATTTCCTGATTAAGAAGCAGTACTAGCAAGTTCTGTTATCCCTATTGAGGCACTGGCAAAGGCATCAGCCAATGTTAAAAATGCTATCATTGTCCTTTATTCTGGCCTGAACTCTGAGCGATAAGGTCTAGATAATTCATTCTAGGGTGCCCCAAATTGGTCCTGAACCACTGTCACCACAACCTTTACCTTTACACAACTAAGGTAAGATTGAAGACCGGCTAGTAATTGTCCAACACCTGTAGAACCTGGAAGGGTCCTTTCAAGAAGGGACTAGCCCACACTTCTTTCACAGTGGAAGGCAACATGTTCTCACACAAGGCATTCACAACCTCCTGGATCCACAGGATAAAATTGCCCCTCCCAACTACTCATTGAAAGCAGTTCGTGAACAATAGCAAGCCAAAGCTCAAATATTTTGAACACATAAAAGGCAAAGTCATTGGAAGAGCCTGATGCTTGAAAAAAAATGGAAGGCAATCAGAAAGAGACTGACAGAAAACCAGGTGGCTAGATACTATCAGGGATGAAATATGAGTTTACAAGAACCTAGAGAAGCAGCTATTGACAGCCCGTCTTGGTGAAATGATGTTCACTGGGTCACAAAAGGTTGAAACTGACTGAATAACGATTCCATCAGAGCAGTACTTTTCATCCGCAAGAGGCAGTGTGATCCTGAAAAACATGTTCAGCTAGCTCAGTGTTTCTCAACCTTGACAATTTTAAGGCATGTGGAATTCTGGGAGTTGAAGTCCACATGCCTTAAAATTGTCAAGGTTGAAAAATACTGAGCTAGCTGATTTCAGCTGCACTGAAAGTTATATTGAATAAGATGACATCTTGTGTGCACCTTCAAATCCTTTTTCATATTCCAAAAGGGTAGATGACTCCTGGGATAGCACAGGAATTTAAGGGTGTCGGTGGACCTGGTAATGGTTCTGAGATCAGATTTAGATAGATTTGCATATCCTGACATATCCAAGTTTATTGTATTCAAGCAGTATAGAGGTAGATCATAATTTTCTGAACAGCTAAATATTTCTAACGTGCTTTTCAATGGAGTTGAAAAGTGTTCTCTATTTTCTTGAAAAAGAAATATAAAGCAACAAAGAGAATTGTTCTATTAAAAGAAGTCTGTCAAACAGAGCCTGGAACCTCTCCATTAGTACCACTCTTTTTCTTCTCTAAAATGGTTTAAGCACACGTTGCCTAGAAGTTCTTTAATTTCTAAAATAAGCACGCAGAAAAAAATGATTGGACAAAAGAGAAAATTAGTTCTGAGGAGAAAAAATGTGTTGTTCTTCTACTTGCTTATGTTACTGTGGAATCCTTTTAAAAAGCCAACTCGGTCTCATCATTATTGCTATTTTGCCTAATTTTAGGCAAACTTATTTGTCGGAAATAATTACATGAATCTGTTTTACAGTTTGCACCATATGTCTAAGAAATGGTGAGCTCCTAATTTGTTTCAAATAAGTGTTTTGTTCATTAGTCCCTTTGTAATGCAAATATCTATATTTCTGTTTTTGTCTTTAGGTAGCAAGTACAGTATGTGATTTTTCTGAATTCTGTAATTCATTCATTCTTTCAGGACGTCAGCGGATCAGTCAGCTAGCAGAAAATACGAGGTACTTCAGAAGAAGATTACGTGAATTAGGATTCATTGTTTATGGCAATGACGATTCTCCAGTTGTGCCTTTACTTCTTTATTTACCTGGTAAAATTGGGTAAGTTAATTCCTGCTTCACAAAAAACTGTCCAAAATTTTCAGAATATAATTTTTAAACTCAGGTTTCATTTTGTAATTATTGTAAAAAGCTGTTAAGAGGAACGTAGGTAGTCCCCCTTAGCAAACTGGGGCTTTTCCCTCTCCTCCTTCCATGCAATCTTGTGAGGAAGAATAGGCTGCAGGTTTGCTTTGTTATGTTATTTCAGCAGTGGGTAAACTCTCACTTGTTATGTGATTAAAAATAATGAATAACCTTCAGCCAGAATAAGAGTCTCATCCTAATGGGGACAAATTTCCAAAAAAAGGACAGGCCTTTTTTTACTAAGCTTATCAGTAGCCTTTTAAAGATTTACACGGTGTAAGAGGATATGCTCAGGAATTTGGCACATCAATAAGGTTATACCCAAGGGAGTGGGAGATGGCAGGGGGAGAAGGAAATGATAGATAAATAGATGGATGGATGGATGGATGGATGGATGGATGGATGGATGGATGGACGGATGGACTGATAGACGGACAGACAGACAGACAGCAGGGGAGAAGGAGAAAGAAAGAAAGAAAGATAGATAGATAGATAGATAGATAGATAGATAGATAGATAGATAGATAGACAGACAGACAGATAGCAGGGGGAGAAAGAGATAGATAGATAGATAGATAGATAGATAGATAGATAGATAGATAGATAGATAGATAGATAGATAGATAGATAAGATGGGACAGACAAACAGATGATAGTGTAATCTAGCTTCCAATTTGGTGCATTTGTTAAAGGATCCTTTCGAGAGGATTCAGTAATGATTAGTTAACTGCATATGGAAGCCACAATTAGACAATTTAATTAAAACCTATCAAGTCTGGTTTGCTAAAAGCAAGCACAGAGAAGGAAAGCGAGACCTGAAGCCCCTTATTGTTTATTCATATGCCACTGAATTGTTAAAGTATACTAAATGTACCAAATAAATGTTTTTGAATGTCCTTATCATACATTCACAGTAACATACTGTAAGAAAGAACTAACCGTAGCTGTAATCCTGTTGGAAGGATTTTTTTAAATTAACATTGATTCTTATACCATCAGAATATGTATGTGTTTTTGGTATTATTTTGCAATTCTTATTCTTTGTTCTTTTAAATATAATGCCGTTTTAAGAAAATAAGCTCTGTTTCACCTTGTTTCTTTACTCAGGGCTTTTGCAAGACTCATGTTATCCAAAAACATTGGTGTGGTTATAGTTGGCTTCCCAGCTACCCCAATCACAGAATCTAGGGCTCGGTTTTGTGTGTCCACTGCTCATACACGAGAGATGCTAGACACGGTAAGCACAGAGATAGACTTACAAAGCGAACTTCACTTCCTGGATGGACTTGGGAGAAGCCTCACTAGAGTCCTCTTCTTTGTTGTAATTTTCCTTGTTTAAGCTTCATTTGACCACAGAGCCTTTGGAGCTTTTAAGTTAGATAATTAGAAACATCAGAACCCACTGCTGCTAAAAAGATAGGAAGTATAGATTAAGCAGTGTATTTTATTGAACCCGCTTGTATTAGGCTTTGAGTTTTTATAGAATTCTTAAATTGTCAAAGTGGAAAGGGAGCAGAATTATAAACGTATATATAATTTTATGAATGATGGGAGAATGATTTAGAAATCCTGAAATCTTGTTAAGATAGATATTCACAACATTATGGACAATTGATAAAAAATGTAATGCTAGAGACATTCAGGACCTGTTCTCTGCAGTAATTTGAAAATAAAACCCTGAATTTTATGCTATGAATTAATCTTAAAATGAATAGGAATTACCTCACTTGTCTACTAGTTTTGTGTGGAAGGCAAGCACATACTTTGGCCACAAAAAAGGATTTGTAAGTTTTAAAAAATCAATATTATAACCATATGATTCTTCCAAAGTGTTTGGACACAATACGGCTGTTTCCTTTTTCTTATTTTTTCCTTTGCTTTTTCATACTTCCATTGTATTTAAACCTTCTAATAAAAACATTTTTTATTAAAATGAACACTGTTGAGCTATGACATGGACTTAACTTAATTCGAAATATCCCAGCCATCATTATTCCCTTCCTAAAATGGAAAGATATAAGAAGAGTTTTCTCATCTCTATCAAATATCTGCATATTGAGGGAGTCATCCACAAAAATTCCTGGATATGCTTTCCTCCTGTCTCTTAAGTAAAAAGAAAGTGTCCATGAACCAACATTTTAAAAAGAAGGTCACCAAAAATGTATTTTTATTTTTTTTAAATTAATGCTACAGCCATATAACATTTTAAAGAAAAAACTGATGTTTGTATTCCTTTAGGATTACAGAACCTTAATAAAAGTCACTTTTTAAACCACTATTCCCATGGTAGTCCTTTTACAGTATGGCAGGCAAAATGATTCCACCAACTAGGCCAGACTTCTCTTCCTGTCCATCTTTCTTTCCTTTGTCTTTCTCATGAGTGCTATAGAAACTATTTGACCTTATGGTTGAACTTTCATAAGACCAATGTCCTCATGCAACCTAAAGAACAAAAAGAAAAATAAAACACTGTGCTGGCAAGATTCTATCTGCTATGGTGGCCAGAGTAAAAATGGCTAGTGGGAAACAGAATCCTACATTCTGGAAGGAAAGCACCAATCCTGTAGGAAGCCAGGTGGAGCCAAGCAAGGGTGCTGATCCTCCAGTGCTCCTTTTCCTTGCAAGATAGAATGTCCATAAAAAGTTTCCGTGTGGAGAATACCATGTCCCTATTAGATGACCTTGATCCAGATTCAGCCTATCTTGGCTATAGCTTAGCAATATAGTGGAAGGTTCGCTGTAAGGAAAAATCTTCAATAACTCAATAAGCCATCTTCAAGATGGCGCAAGGAAGATGCAGAGATATATGTAGTAGCTCCACGTACTTTGACTTATAATGGTACAGTGCTGTAATATTTTTTTCAGATGTATTTAATTTAGTTTAATACTAATGTTAAACACATACTCATGTGCAATGTTTCTTCCCCCAAACATGTTAATGCTGCTTAAAAGGCAGGTAAAGAAAAAGTTATGAAAATAGTATACCCACACAAAGAGTATGCTGAATACGTGTTGTGCCCCTACAGGGTCCTTATTGCCCTTTTCAAAACGATGCCTTTTCATCAAGATCAGAACCAGGCAAAATTCTAGTAACCCAGGGGAGCTTGTTAGACCTCATCAAGCAGCTCTCAGAAACCACAAGAAACTTGCAAATACATGATTTCTGTAGAACTTTCTGGAAAAAAAATTGAATGAATTATTCATAGCAGCTCCACGTTAAATGCCATACTAGAAACAGGCATGACTTTTTAAAAATGCTGAGCATGTCTTTCTAATATATTGAAATTGCATTTCAGGTCCTGAACGCTCTGGATGAACTGGGTGATTTTTTGTATCTGAAATATTCCCGGCATGCTAAGTCATCTCGTCCTGAACTGTATGATGAAACAAGCTTTGAACTTGAAGATTAAGTTTCCCTCCCGTTACAGAGAAACCGTAATGATGTTACAAGGAGGAGATGGGGCTCTCAACAATAGGAATGCATTTTTGTTTTCCCAAGGATGGTTTTTGCTTCACAGTTAAAGTGATCCAAGAGAAGCATTTTATGTCTGTTTTTACCAGATTGGATTCTGTCTGCAAAGGACTAGAACATTGTTGCGGTTCTCTCACCAGGAAATACAAGTATTATTGTTATTGTTCTTATTATTAGACACCCCCCCCCAAAGACTTTAACTGCTAAATCAGTTGCTATTACACAGCTCTTGTTGCTGTTTTAGGAGCAGAGTTTGGAAAAATTTAATTATGATAACACTTTTTAAAATGAATTGGAATATCATATAATAGCTGAAAAAAAGTTATCTTGTTAAATTGGCTCTTCTTTATAGAAGAGGTATATCTCCGTTGCAGCTTACCAGGATTTAGGCAAAAAATCAAGTAGAAATACTTTGACATACTGAGTAAACAGGAGCCTGATTCAGGGTTAGTCAATGGTCTTTCATGGTTTTGTGTAACTTTTAAGTATTATTGTTAGAAAGTTTTGAGTAAAGAAAAAAAAAAACAATTCATCTTTGCTGCTTGGTATTTTTAAAAAATCTTTTTATATTTCAATTGATAACCAAGGATAAGCCCAAAACAATGTTAATTCAGATTCAACATTGTTGAATTGTTTGAATTATTTCATAATTTAAAGGAGGATTACTTATTTAATTTTCAGGTAGGTTTTTAGAGTTGTCACACACAGTTTTAATAACCATTTCACTTTTTCCCATTTGCATTGTGTTAAGCGTTTCGATATGAAAACAGCAGATGTCATTTCTCCAAGAATATTTGTTTGTTCCGTAAGCATACCGCTGAATCAAAATACTCAGGCTATTACAGAATATAATCCTCAAAAGATCTTACCATTTGTGACTGACAAATGAAAGAACTAGCTGAAAGAACTAGCCCTTTTACTTTATTACTTCAGTGAGATATGTGCTTAATAAAGGAGACCACAGTGAATGTTCTTTTCTAGAAGGTTGATATGTCCATCTTTTAATTGAGGTTAAAATTATTAACTGCTCTTAAAACATAACCAGTTGATTTGAAAACAGCATTTGGAGATTAAAGGAACAAGCGGATATAATTCCATTTCTGTTTCACCAAATGAATAAGACCAGGACTAATGAGAATATATACCACTGTCTTCAGACTGTGGTCCAGCCTCAACAATTAAGGTCTCAGATAGCTATATGCACACACACATACTCTAAGATAACTGGTTGAAAGGTATTTCTATCACTTTTGAGAGAGATAGAATCATCCTGAAAGTCTCACGGTACTGTAAACAAGTCTGATGAAGAGATGGCTTAGCTTTCTGTTTCACAGATGTATTTCACTTTCATGTTCTTGAAAAGCTGTGGCATCCACTTAACACACAGCTGCAAAATTAGATTTAAGAACTGAACAATTAAATTTTGGAATACCAATTACAGTATGGGATTCCCATGCTTGTTAAAGCAGCTTTGAGGATAAAACGAGGCTAGTTTTGAGCTCCCTTTTTGTTATTCAATTTAATAAAATTCAATAAAATATAATGTTAAAAATGGACCACTGTGCATTCCAGAATATCCGGTCTCCACTTCAGAAGTATAGGAGGGCAAAAGGAGTGAATTGTACAGTGTTGTATGATCGTTCATGTTGGCGAATGAACTTGAGAAACACTAAACGGGCCCATGTTTGTGCATTGTACTAAAACTACTGTATAAAAATAAAGGATGTTTTGGTGTGTTTTTTAAAATATTTGAAATTGGTTCATTTCTTGGTCATAAAAAAAAAATTGGCACAATGACTCGGGAACAATCTGCCCCTGATGAATGGCCATATGTTACAAAGAAACTGTGTTTTACAAGTGTTACAAAATTTCCAGAAGACCCTGTTCCCAGTGTCTTTTTCTCCATAATTCTCTTCAACCACTAGCAATTGCTTTTGCCTGTTTCACTGTATTTCTATGCTTGGAACAGTCTACTAAGAGCAGATGCTGGAAAGAGCAAGCTGCTCTGATCATGATCAAAGAAAGCAGGATTCTGGCTTAATGCAGTACATAGTTATGCTGCCTGAAGCAGAAGAAATGTGTGTTGAATGAATTCTGAAGTTTGTTGTTAAAGCCGTCTTGATTTTTTTGTTCCCATGTGCAGTATGGCCATTCATATAACTATAATGGTGAACTTAAAGAAAAGCGGCCATCTTATCTGGTTTTGCTGTTTTCACCTTAATTTCTCCTGACTTACGCTAATTTTCACATCTGTAATTAAATAGCAGAATCAAATGTTTCTCGCTATATCTGGCAATTAGCACATAAGGGAGCTTCTTCTGCTTGTAGCCACAATCTAGTTTTCTAAGCTATTGAAAGCACTAAAGAGGTTCTACAAATGCCGTGACTTCAATTTTTTTTTCTTTGCTCGAGTTAACATATTCAAAAGTGGAAATCAATGTATTTTGACCAATAAAACCGCCAAGAACGGGGGAGGGGAAATCACATGAAAGAAAATCTGCCTCTTTATCATGACTTTCAGTAGCATGGACTCAAGAAGACTAGAGAGCCATAAATAAGAGTGCAGAGCAGTGGTGGGATTCAGATATGAACAACCGGTTCTCTGTGTTGATGCCGCTTCCGGAAGTCCATTCTGGGCCTAGGCAACAAAAAGTTAGCTACCAGTTCTGTCGAAGTGGTGCGAACCGGCTGAATCCCACCATTGGTGCAGAGAATTATATATGAACTACTATCTAAAAAAAAATTTCTTCCAGGATAAAGAAATCTATCAAGGCCATCTAAAATGCACTGTGAGGATTTTGGCCAACCTCCCTAAAATCTTTTACTTTGCTTCTTGGCTCCAATGTTTTGGAAGCAGGGAAATAATATTTAAAATGTCAAAATACAGCAATTATAAAATCAGATCAAAAGTGCATTATTTGGTGCAAAAGAAGAAAACTTTCCAGAAAACCTATTGGGGAAAATTAATGATTGGCCATAGCTCAGAAGTTTCTCTGTCTAGAGCACACTTGTCTCATTGAGGATAACAGAGGAGGACCATAATTGTTAAACCAAAGCAGTTTCAGCAGACGAGAACTATTAAGGACAAGAGTCCAGTGCTCAGAGTTTTAATATTTGTCTAACACACTGGTTCTCAACCTTTTTAATGCCGCGACCCCCAACCGGTCGTAAGTCGAGGACTACTGAACCGGTCATAAGTCGAGGACTACTCAACTGGTGCAGCACCATTTGCAGAATGGGACTTTTGGCGGGCTCAGTAGGGCAGAGACAGCCTGGACAATTCCTATTGGCTTTTGAAAGCCAATAGAATTAGACTCTATTCAAGAGAGTCTATTCTATTGGCTTTCAAAAGCCAACAGAATAAAAGGAAGTAGCACAGCTAAGGAAAAGGGGGAAAAAATGGCGTACTGCATTGTTTGGCGACCCCCGTGAAATGGTCGTTTGACCCCAAATGGGGTCCCGACCCACAGGTTGAGAACCACTGGTCTAACAGTTTCCAAAGCTGAAATATGATGAAATATAATGTTAGACAAATTATTGATTTAATTGAGTACTTGGATAAGAATAATCAGATTCCTGTGGCTTTTATCTTTTTGGACGCTGAAAAAGCTTTTGATCAATTGGACTGGCAATTTTTACTTTCTTTGGTAGAGAAAATGAATTTTGGGGATAATTTCTTTCATGCACTTAAAGCTATATATCAGCAGCAATCTGCACAAATTGTTGTAAATGGGGGATTGACTGAGAATTTTAATATTCAAAAAGGGACAAGACAAGGATGTCCATTATCCCCATTGTTATTTGTTTTAACATTGGAGATTTTATTGATTCAGATTCGGGAATCAAAGTTAATTAAGGGTGTAAAGATAAGGAAGAATGAGTATAAATTGCGGGCATTTGCGGATGATTTGGTTTTAATTTTGGAACAACCGAATCAGGCGATTGATGGTTTGTTAGAACTTATAACACAGTATGGGAATGTTTCTGGTTTTAAAGTTAATAATTATAAGACTAAGATATTATCTAAGAATATGTCAGTTAAAGATAGGGAAAGTTTGATTAAAGCCACAGGTTTCCAGATGGTAAAAAAGGTTAAATATTTGGGAGTATATCTAACTGCTTCAAATGGAAAATTGTATAAGAACAATTATGAACCACTATGGGCAAAAGTCCAAAAGGATTTAAGAGATTGTAAAAAATTGCAATTGTCATTGTTGGGGAGAATTTCAGCTGTAAAAATGAATGTTCTACCAAAGTTTCTTTTTTTGTTTCAGATGATACCTATTCTTAAAAAAGAGGCAAATTTGGAGGAATGGCAAAAGGGTATCAATAATTTTATATGGGCTGGGAAGAAACCAAGGGTTAAATTTAAGATATTACAGGATGCTCAAGAAAGAGGGGGACTTAAGGCACCCAATTTGAAATTATATTATGATGCAGCCGCCCTAACTTGGTTAAGTGATTGGCTTAATTTAACAAATATGGATATTCTTTTTTTGGAAGGTTGGGATCTAATATATGGTTGGCATGCATATTTAATTTTTAATAAGAAAGTTGATCGGACTTTTAAATCACATATTTTGAGGAATGCCTTACTTCGTGTTTGGAAGAAGTATTATTATAGATTAAATTATAAAATACCTATCTGGGGGATTCCCAGACATGCAATTGAGGGAACTTCTAAGAGGACAAATTTTGACAAAATCTCGTATAAAGAATTGTTAATTCGTTCTGGTTCGAATTGGCATTTGAAATCCCTAGATGTACTAAGGCAGCAAAATATTCTACAGTAATGGTTTCAATATTTACAAATAATGGATAGATGGACTGTAGACAAGAAAGAGGGAATAACACTAGAAGATAGACAATTGGTTATTCAGACTAAAAACCAAAGTCCGGCTCATATAAAAAGAATATACAATGTTTTATTAGAGTTAGATTCGGAAACAGAATTGGTTAAAGACTGTATGATTAAATGGGCTCAGAATATACAGGAGCCGATCTCATTGGATTTATTGGAGACAATTTGGATAAGAAATGTTAAATTTACACAAGCTCAAAATTTGAGAGAAAATTTTTATAAAATGTTTTATAGATGGCATTTAGATCCTAAAAAATTATCTTGTATGTAGTCCAATATACAGCCCAAATGTTGGAGATGTGGCAATAATGATGCGACATACTTTCATATTTGGTGGAATTGTAAAAAAGTAAAGGCTTTTTGGATTATGATTTGGTGGAACATTCAAAAGATTTTTAGAAAAAAGATAAAGTTTACTCCTCAACTATTTTTACTTGGTATTTTTGTTGACTTAAATGAAAAAGAAACTACTTTGATGTTGAATTTATTAAATGCAGCAAGGTTACTAGTAGGTTTATATTGGAAGAAAGATTCCTTGCCTACTTTAGAAGAATGGATATTTAAAGTATCTAGTTTTGCAGAAATGGCAAAAATTTCTGCTTATTTAAAGAATCATACACAAGAAAGATATATTACTGTATGGGGAAGGTGGATAGATTATATTCAGAAAAAGTATGGAATTAAAAAGTTTCATTTATTTTATGAATGAATTTTAAATATTATAGAGAATTGTTTTATAGGTTATGGAGTTAAAGGTTAATTATGATATTTTTTTCCTCTTTTTTCTTTTTTCTTAATTACTATAATTTTTTTATTATTATTAACCCTGTATTCTGCTCTGGGAAGTGAAGGGAGGGGGGTTGGGGGTGGGAGGGAGGGTAGGGTTTTTTTGTTTTTTTTTTGTTTTTTCTTCTACTTTAAAATTTTATTGTATTTTTATAAATGATTGTATGTTTAAAAAATAAAAAAAATTTAATTAAAAAAAAAACAACCCCGTTTCCGAAGCTGGAAACGAAGATCTCTGTTTAATATATTTGGACCCTAAAATGTGCCAAGTTTTCATAGGGATTACAAGCACTCCACAGAAGTCCAAGGAGAGCAATATTTTAAAAAATAAACTCCATAAAAATATATTAAAATGAAAGTCCAATGAAACTGCTTATAAAAACCCGATAGGTCAAAGCTGCACATTATAAGACATCTATAAAAAGATTCAGAAATATATATTGCAGAGGAATTGTTGGTGAAAATGACAGAATTTTCAAAAATTGAAAAACTGACTTGTTTAATTAGGGAAGAAGCAACAGGTATTTTTATTTATGACTGGAAATCCTTTATGGGTTTTTGCTGAAAATGGGGGGGTATAAAACTGGTGATTCAAATCAAATAGAAGACGGGGTACAAACAAGTAACTTTTAAAGTGCTAAAAATATTAAAAGGATATATAAAAACAAAAGTCCCAAAAAATCTACAGGGAGTGGTAGGAATATTAGATGGATATAGAGGAGCATAAAAGTATATGGAAACTAAATCCATCAAAGTGCAAAGACTAGTTTATGGCACAGGTCATCCTCATCTTAAGTGATGCTGCACAGAACCTGGCAATATATTGTACCAAGGCTGAATGTCTGCAAGCAACACGGGGCACCCCAGGTACTTATAAAGTAATAAGATGAGACTAGTACAAATGTATTGGAGGAATACGTGTTCTGTTGTTTCTAGGCATATAGAATCTCTCCAAGTAGGACATTTTCCTGTATCGGCCTTACACCTCATTCTGGCAGGTCTAGATCGAAAATGAATGAATGAAACCCATTTAATAGCAGTTAGCAGTCCATGTTTCTGAAATCAGTATGGTGGCATGGTGGGAGAGGAAGTCAATAACACAAACCAGCCAGTCACATACTAGGTTAGGAGCGTGACTGGTCAGTTGGGTGTCAAGCAGATGCACTGTGAGCCAGCAGCTGGGTGGGTAATTTTTATAGTGGCAGTAGCTTCTTTGCTCACAGAGGTGGAGGGTGGTATCATCATATCTCCGGTTCTACCTTCTCTGCCATCTGTTTGTCTGTCAAGACTCCCTTCTTGTGAATGGGCAGGAGAGTTTGTAGTTTTGGCAAAGCGACCAGAAAAAAAATCAGAACATCACGGACAGCAAAATGTGAGTCATTGGCAAGCAGGGACCCCAACCCTTTAGCAAGGGGAGCATTCTCTGGCTTGCCCAGTGAGAGAAGAGATGAGGCAATCTGTTTATCCTGACAGTTGGGTTCCCATAGGGCCAAGAGAGGCTCCTGAATTTTGGGAGCAGATGAAGATGTATCTCCAGTTGAGTTTGTGTGATGGAATGCAGTCTGAATTCCCAGGAGGGAGGGAGGGAGGACATTCCAGAGGAATAAGAGGTAACTCAGTTCAGATAATTTGTGTGAAAGAAAACAGGTGATGGCAGTTCTCAGAGTAATATGCTTTCTATAGATTGCGGGGTGCTTCTGTTCAGCAAGATTCTATCAGTGTGGAACAATAAAGAAATCTACTTGGAAGAATCCCCATGTGACTTTCTCGGTTTGGGGGGCCTGACAGTTTCTGTAGTTCTTGGCTGAGGATTGTTTTGTTTGCAAGGCAGTTTCTTTGGGGTATCCCTGGATATTGCTGGAGTGAAGATCTCAGAGAAGTCATTGTCAGTACAACTATCCTTGTCACTGGTGAAGTTCGTAGAGTAGTGTGTTGACAGCTTTTGGTGTCCAAGGCACAGCAGAGGCAGCGATATGAGATGAGCACACCAATGGGGCAGATATATTGTTAATGATGGGTTTCCATATCACTTACCAGCAATGGGAGGGTATGTCAGAATTGTTTGGATGGCTGCTAGTTTCTTCCTCAAATTAAAGTTTATAGATTTAGCTTCCTCCCTTCTTGGAGTTTGCTTAGCTCCCTTAGTTTTGGCAGAATCTGGCAGATTAACTCTCTTTTAGCTGTACATTTTTATGGTCATTATCTGCAGTGTCACAATCGTCACTTTCCTAGTTATGAGGTCGTGAACTAAGTCAACCTTAGGAATTGTGACAGTTTGGACGTGCTGAGTCTGCCACAGGAACTCATACTCATTTGTGTGAGTCTGATGGGCAGAGTCGATTGTTTGAAATCCAGAAATATGCACTTAAAATTTCTTGAATTGGATCAGTAGTGAAAATCTTCTAAATCAATTGTTCTATTTTGGCACTTTTGGAGCTGAGATATGGAGGTCACAATTATCTCAGCTGTTCTATCTATGCACCTTCTGATGGATTTCTAGGAGGAATTGCCTCTTTTAGAGTACATGGTGGTGGTTGGCTGCTTCTGGGT